ACTATAAATGTAACTATAAATAGATAACTAATTAATTCTAAAAATTGTATCCGGATATTACCACTACAAAATAAAATATTTAAGTTTAACAAAATAATCCCATAAGACTCAATACTAATACGTCCTCACAAATCTGACAGCGTGTCACGTGACTGTATATAGAGGGGAGACCCACGGAGCGAATACACATAACTTGTGGAATACACACACATATCCACACAGTATAGAGTGCAGTCATATAAAATCAAAACTTTTAATTCTTACTAATTTGGATTTGTTTTTTTTTTTCAGTTTGGACAGAAATCTAGGCACAAAGAAAGACAGCAGAAGAGGTAACTCCGGCAACTACAAGGAACAACAAATTCTAACGAGAATACATCACGTACCTTAGATTTTTGTTTCGCCTGTTTAATCTTAACGTCATCAACATGGTAGTAACCATTTTAACAGCCTCCAAAAAAGCTACTGACACTTGGTGTGTCTCTCCAAAGTAAGTCGATAGCATAGTTTTAGTTTTTAGTTATCGGTATTTAAGAAAGTAGCATTTAGTACAGATCGTGCTGTTTTTTTTTTCAAATCCTTTCAAACCTTTCAAACTTTTTTTCAAACCCTTTCAAACCAGTCTCAAGACTTTTATAATCAAAGTACCTAATTGGTTAGAATATTTTCATGGGTCAAAACAAAAAATGGTACTGCAAAATCAATATCAAACTCTAAATGCACAATATTTTAATACGATCCACCATAGCTAAGTAAATTGTGGCCATGAGAAAGAGGTGGGAACAAGTCGATACAAATAGCAGAGAACACTTAGACATACGTAACATCTCGCAGATAACGCCTCTGATTGTGGTGTATCCATCGAGCAAAAAGACCAAAGAGGGAATCTAATCGTTATGAAAAGGAGAAATTCATAAAAGTGGCCTCTTAATATGAAGGACATATCCGGGAATGCAAAGGCGCCAAATTTAAAGAAGCTATAAAATATTTTTCAGCACGAGTTTTAGACGAGAAAGTTTTATAAATAATAATGATAATAGTCTAAAATATGACACAATTGTTAAAAAACTTCAATATAAATAAGCTTTCATGTGGCACCTCGGACAAGCAATAACATAACCCAACTAAACTTGATTTCTTACACAAGGAAAGTGACTCTTTTTCCTTGTTTAATGTAGTCTCTCAAAATAGCACTTTCCATCTAACAATATTTTTGCCCCCACTACCTTTACATTCCCTCTTCTGTCTTTTTGCTCGGTGGCTATATCTCAACAATATTCTTGCTGTAACAATATCAGTTATCTAAATATACTTTTGGACATTACATGATTTTTTAAAACTTCACTGTAATTGAATTATCTTGGCTATATTATAATAAAACGTGTATATGTCAAGAAGTTTAAGTATATATTAACAATGCACACTTTTCATGATAGCCAACACAGTGATGATTTTCTGCTTTGTACCACTAACCACTGCCTTTTTTTTGCAGCAACTTCAACGAAAAGAAGGAAAAATCAGACCCTTTTCAAACCAAGAAAGACACCAAACCACAACCGAAGACAAACTCCTACGGGGCTTGGGGACCAACTTTTAAAAATAAAGATCATTTTGCTAATCTTCACTATTGTTAGTCTGTAGGATTTTGTATGAAATATAAATTGTTTTGTAGGGCTATGTTTTTAAGAGGCTTAGGAATCAATATATTTTTATAAGTTTATAGACTATAAATTTCAATTGCAATGTAAAATTAATTAAAGTATTTAGGGGCAAAATTTGCTTTTTTGAGGGTATGAGTGAAATAAACAGAGTTTTTATAATTATCTGCCGTCATCTGCCATTTGTTGTTATTAAATATGTTTGAAGAAGAAGATGATAATACCAACTTTCGTCCACCGTTCGTGTCGAAATCTGGATTCCCTTAAAATCGACCAACGACAATTTAGTAGATATTATTACTGGCTTACATATTAATACTGCCTTCTGCATCATCCAAAAATGTATTGGAATTTATTTTCATTTGCACAAAGCATTTACTCGGCGTCACAAGATAATATTAATACTGGAATCATGAGGCTATCAAGGAAATATACTTGCTTTTATTAAAACATTTCTCCTAACTAGAAAATTTCAAGATAGATGTAAACGGTCTTCCAACCGTATTATATCAAAAAAATGGCACACCTCAAGGCTCGGTAATCAGTCCAACACTTTTCCTTCCAGCTATTAACTATATAATAACATCAATGAATAAACCCATTCAAGATAGACTGTACGCGGATGATCTTATAATATTCTTAAACGGGAAAAATATACAGAGAATGGCCAAGTTACTACAAGATCAGCATATAGCATGGTCTAAAAGAATGGTTTTCAATTTGCTCTATCTAAAACTCGCTGTGTCATATTTTCAAAGAGACCTGTTCCAGAAATGAACATATTGTTTTTAAAATACAAAATAAAAATATAATTCTTTGACTTTTCTTAGTGTATAATAACTAGAACACACACTTTATCAAGTTTGAACGCGACACCTGGCGTTTGACGTCTGACCCTGTTAAATATTTTTTCACACCTAAATAAAGTAGGGGTAATCTTCCCATTTTACGCATTATGTAGTGTTTTATCAGTTCAGTAAGAGCAGTTCAAGTTGGCATATGGCCGTCGAGGCATCGCCGCAGCGGGTAGCTAAGAACTCGCAATTCACGTGTTAAATATAATATTCTCTCTCCGCCGAAATCGGGCAATTTCTCATAACAGTTTTTCTTTTACGTGTTATAAAGAAAGAGTAAATTTGATATTGTATAGTAAGTTACGGCCGTGTTGGGCCTCTCTACTCTTAAAATATTTAATTATAAATCGATAAACTCAAAAGTGATTTTATTTCTCTGGAGCTATATTTGCTCACATTAAGAATCCTTATCCTTCAACGGTCACTGAAGAACCAAACCTATGGAGATGCATCCATTCACAAGTCCTTTGAAGTAAGGCTTGGAATCAAAAGATTTCCAACTCTCATGATGTAGGTAGCCAGTTACAAGGCTCCCTCAAGACCAAAGCAACATTTCCAAAGAAATCAAGCTCTAACCTGAAAGGACCACATCAAATATATTTTAGCAATGTGTCAAAAAGATTAAACCTCTTAAAATGTCTTTCTGGTACGAACTGGAGCGGACGGTAAAACTCTTTACAATCTCACCAAACCATTTGCTACTCGAATATTTAGCATGCAAAACCCTACATTCCCTTTTTATGAAAATGCAGACGAATCATAAATGAATTAAACCTTGAAGTACCGAAATCTGTCCTAACAAGATGCCAACTCCCCCTCCCTGGCTAATATCTTCTCTTCTCTTCATATAAATCTGGATCTATTATCATCATCAATAAAAGAAAGAAACCAATCGTCACATAATTAATTCCAAATATCAAACCTTAATTTCTCAATGATCTCCCTCCAAACAGTTATTCATGCATGGATCTACAGAACGAAGACGGAACATTGTGTAGCATCTGCCTTTGTAACAAAGAATGAAATATAAACTTTTGGAGACTAACACTATCTTAATAGGAGAACTCTTGCAATATATTATAAATTCTCTAGAAATCATCTCTAAAATCTATTCTTTCCATCCTGTGTCCAAACTCATTAGACAAAACTGGCACTTTGGAAACGATCTGGCAGATAAATATGCACTAGAAGTCTTAGAGGATGGAACTATTAAGATCTATCCAAAAATTTCAGCGACAGATCTCAAATCATATTTCTACAGCAAAATAGTTGACTTATGGAATAGCAGATAGCAAAAAAAAACAGTCGAAATTACTTGTGATGAAACGAACATTTCAAGCATGGTCGGATAGTTTCACCAATCGTTTTTCTCAGGAGATCGTGACACGACTGCGGCTTGGTTATAATTCCCTTACGCATGGACATGTGATGACACGAGATCCTAACCGGAGTGTTATGCTTGCGAGATCCAGCTAAAGGTCGATTTAGACACATCAGTCCCAACGCCGAACCGGTCCTATTTGGTCACAGAACTATCAACTATCTGACAGCTGGCAAACTGTTCGTCGCCTGATGAATGTGAATGCCTGCGCCATATTTCTATTAAAGAATATTTTGTATGACGGATTGTTCGGTTCGGCGCCAGGACTGTGACGAGACGTGACTGATGTGTCTGAATCGATCTTAACGCAGCTAACAGTCAAACAGCTTCTAGTGGAGTAGCCGTTACACAGTGAGGAAAGAGGAATTCCGGAGAATTTAAAAAATCTTTTCTTAAAATACGGTGCCAAGGTGATTATTCAATTTTTAAAAGAAATAAACTATTTATACAAAACTTGTTTGTTGTACCATTCTATGGATGTTAATATTTATTTCTTTCGTTAATAGAGGTTGATGCGATGTAAATAAAAAAGTACTTGTTGAACAAGATTTTTGAATTTCCATTTTTGTAACATAATATTGTTGAATTACCTCTATCTTTAATCTCCTCTCTTTGAGCACATAATTTTGACAATCTAGTTATTGAGAGGTGACAATATTGGATTCTATAAATGTTTATGGATCGAAATATGTGGCTCGCTCGAAAAAGAATTTTTTTTTTCCAGAAAATTTCAACTTAAAAAAATCAATATTTTCGACAAAAGTTTCATTCGAAAGTCAATAATTTTCAGCACTTGAAATATTACATATTCTTAGACTTGTTTTTAATGTAGATTATGAATCGGATATCCAAACTGCTCTGGCTATCATAGCGATTAACTTACTAGTTACAGTTTTGGGTCACAAAATCATAAAATTTAAAGATCGAAATTTTTTATAAATCATTATTTTGATCCAATTAGTATCCTTCTTTATGAATAATCCTGTAAATGATTGGGACCGAAACAAAAACTGAGAATATAGTTATTTCTGACACTTTAATATTTATATTATACAATATTTTTGTTTTTTATCTTAATACATCTAAATACACTAACAAATTCCACGATTTCAGTTGTGTTAGCAAACTGAAACTATTAAACTTTTCTAGCAGTTTACGTCACAAATGGCTGAATAGTTTGTTGCTTGTGTTTGCTGAAATGTTTATTCCACAGTTTTTCGAACAATAGAATCAGTAGAGCTGCTGTAAAACCTACAAAACACACAATGAGTTCGACAATTCACTTAACAAAGAAAAGAAAACTAAAAAATAGTTAGCTATACATTATTTATTCTCAAGTCAAAGCCACATCGACTTCACGTAGATAAGTACAGGTTGGCCATTATCTGTGTGGGTAAAATTTTTGCCAGTTTCGCGTAACCGGGAGAAAGTATCCGAATAAAACAAATGGATGGAGATATTACACAATTTTAATAGGAATAAGCTACAACTGAAGTTTAAAATAAGTTTATTGACGTTTCAATTTCCACTTCGGAAATCGTTTTCAAAATACAAACATTAATAAATTACACAAATTTTGTTTTTTGTTACCTTGGTGAAAAATTCTTCTAATAATTTAATTTTATACGACTCATTTATATAGACAATTTAGACACGTATTATACATATTAAAGTAGACAACTTAAAAATGATATTGCAAATGTTGCTGACTTAAGAATATCCGTCAGAAAAAATCATAACATGTGATTCGTCTTTAAAAGGACAACCACATGCCATGATGACAGTAAATTTCTCCTGTTAGTGATTCCATAGTAAATCATGAGGAAAAGACCAGGAATAAACCTCATAGTACTAGCCCGACATGGTAAGTATTTGGTCTTACATTTAGTACACTCTCAATAAACACGAAATTCCGATTTTATATGTATGTTATTTAAAAATTATAAATAATGTATCCTCGATATGTTACCGACTGAATAGTGGTATTTTCCTTTTATTAACTTCCTCTTCTAATATGAGTAACCAGATCCTACTGCATTCTACTGAGGAATATGGCGACACAATTGGTCTCATTTAGCATAATTATGCTCATGAATTAAATGAAGGGCTTAGAATAAAAGGAATCCAAGTGCAATTTTACTAGTTTGGAGATATTTAAGGTTAAAGTTCTTTGGATAATTAAAATTCCTTGTACTACGGTAGTACATAGTATTATTTAATATTAAAGGATCAGAAAATCAATATGCCCACACAAATTTTCAATAAAATAACCACTTTAGCTGTATTTTGAAAATGAAAAGTACTTGAATCTTTCTTATTCCAAACGGTATCCGTGACTAAATATCCTTATATATCATTTTTCAAAGTAAAACACTTGCACGTCACGATTTATACAAAGTGACGTCACTTATATTTAAAATTTTCAGAACATCAACCTTTATAGTTCAAATTTTCCTAACACAGCTAATAATACGAAACCCATACGGAACTGCTCGATCTTTCATAGGCGTCAACATGGTGTAATAATAAAAAAAAATTAATCATCATTATATTGGAAATTTTAGAATTATATTGATTAAATAACCAAAAACATTTATTATTATTAATAATATAAATTTTATAAAATAACTCTTGAAGTCTAATATTTCACAAAATAATAATTTTAATTAAATATATTAGACAATTGTACGCAACTGATACGGAAATACATAAAATATTATTGACAGTTCAGCGGGTGGCAAAAGTGTATTAAGTGTTGCCGCTTTTTTAGAGTAGAAATTTTGTTTGTTTTGATTTCTTACACAATTTAATCATAATATAATATATATTAATAAATTGTATTTATAAATACATTTTAAATTTAGATTAATAGCTTTAAAAACTAATTATTGTTGTGTATTGTGATTGTGATATGCCAAAACAAATAAATAGTCTGTAGAAAGCTGATAAGCTTTCATATAAGATAGATTATTTTGAACAAGAAATAATGGCGGGACGTTTTTGTTATTAAAGCCATAAAAGAGGTAAGTTTAAAATTTAGAATATATAATTTTGTATTAAAATGTTTTCTTATGTATTTTAATGTGTTGCAGTAGTATTAAAACTAAGTGTATTTACTGTTAATATAATTGTTTGACAAATAGTTGACATTTTAAAAATTCCTCACTTACTAACTATTGTGATGTTTTGGCAACGCTGTGGGATTCTGACGACGTAAATGTTGAATGACGTGCAAGCTTTTTTATATGAAATATGCTATACATCTTTAGGATTTTTGCACGAAAAAAAGGTGACTAAAAATAGATTTATGGCTAAATTATTAGTTATAATATAATACGCAGAAAAACAAAGGAAAAACCACAAAAATATCTTTAACCCCACACTAAGCAAGTTTCACATATTATGAGAGTCCAGCACTGCTGTATGTTCCATATCTTCGCCAAATTTAGTTTGCTGCGACTCTAACATTTCAGTTTCTTCTTGAGAACCTTCTTCAGAAACTTCGTTGATGGTATTTATTTTTTTGTGTATTCATGGAGAGTTCTTTGCCCATGTAAGGCCTAGAGCTTTACGAAACCAAAAAAACGTTCATAATTATAAATATTTTGACAAGCAACAAATTGTTTTGTATTTAAATTTATGAATACAAATTCTTCATCATAATTCAAATTCTTTTTTTTTGTCGTTGAAATATTTCTTCTTTAGCTAAATCTTCAGTAAAATAAAAGTTAATAATGATTTAGGTACTTAATAATTGTTGTAGGAAATGGTTTGTGTCCCTAAGTAACAAAGAAAAAATAGTCGCTAAAAAACAGTATTAATGTGAAAATTGCATAATATTTCATACCCATGAAGAGTACAAAAAAGCTTCCCTGCATATCATCCAAATTCACTGTATGATTGTTGACTTCAATGAGATGTCTGTTCTTCCAACATCTGTCCCTCTTTGGTAAATAATCCTTCAGCCATTTCTCAATCAATCCCATTTGATGTAATTTTTTAATCCTAAAAATACAAGAGATATATTCGTGTTTTTTATCCAATGGTGGAAATTTTTCTACCATACCAAGCACAATACCGGTTGGGGAGATAATTGCTAGTGTTTGAGTTGGGAATTAGTAAATTATCGCAGGATGTCACAGACGAAATCTTAGATGGAAACTTCATGAATATTAGGACGAGTCAAACCATCTAAAGGCAATCCCACGACTTTGAAAAACGAAATAATCAAAACCTAAATGCTAATAAGAACATTTTTAATCAATTTATTAATTTTCAGGGGACTGCTGCCCAATAAGATTAACAACGTTTAAAATAGATATATTCCAATATACTTAGGCGAAAGGGGGAGAATAGTGGCCGCCTAAGCATTTTGGTTTATTTATACTGCTACATAGCTTTAGAAAATATACTGTTAACGTAAATAAAACTTCAAACATTAGTACTTTAAACTCTATTTACGAAAATTTTTTAAACAGAACAAAAAAAAAATTAAAACGGTCTTTCAGACTTCTGCTGGTGGCCATATTTACCCGCTGCCGAGGGATAGAAGTGCCACTGCCACCATTACCCCCATTTAAAAAATAATTAAATGCAGAAATCGCAAATGTAAATTTTGCTTTCGAAACTAGTACAGTCTTTGTGTGCCCATTGGCCGCAAATGCTGCAATGGATCCAGAGTTCTCTGTTTTTACCGAATTCGCCACAAATTGTGCAAATATCTTCAATAATGTCCCTATCACGGTCATCGTCATCATCCTCATCTTCAGATGATATATTTCTGTGATCTTCTGTGTTCTTATACAATTTCTATTTGGAACTATTCACGGAGGAGTGAACTCTTCGATGCCTATTTTTCGTTTGGTTCTTTTGCTGGCTTTATTTCTCATTTGCCCTTCCTTCTTCCGCTGTTTTTCTTCAAGAAGTAACTTCATTGGTGTTGATGGCATTATTTCGGAATGTTGCTTCCTGTTGCTTTTGTGTTGGATCTTTTATTTCCAACTGAATCATCTTTTGAACATCCTGGTAGTGGAATTATGTCAACAAAAGATACTTCAAACTTTTTGTCATGTGTCAAACTTTCTTTATTCCCCTTAACTTCCTTATTATTCTTCTCCTTATCTAATACACTTTTTTCTCTTGGTCTAGTGTCTTTTTATCTTTTTCTTTTATGAATGATTCACCTGGAGCAAAGTCTTCATCGGTAAAATTTTCAGGATTATATGGAAATATTCCTGCATTCTCAAAACCTTTAATGGCTTTGACTGGTGTGGCTACGAGACCGTATGAATTTTTAAATATTTCAGCTATTTTAAATGTCGTGATACGCTCATGAGGATGACTTCGAAGATAATTGTCACATTCAATGTTAAAGGCTGATTTAATGATGAGTAAAAATTACATCACGGTGGGTCGATGCGATGTGTGAGGGGTATGGTTAACATAATAATTCCTAGGTCTTTACAGAAATTATAGGTATCTAATGTACAGTGGCTACTGTGATTGTCGACGATTAACAAAACTGGATCCTCCTTTGAAGGTTTTACAACACTGTAAAAATGCTGGAGCCGTTCGAGAAATATTTGCTCCTTTATCCACCCATTACCCGAGCAGCAGTAGACTGCATCAGGTGGCCCATTTTTCTTTAACTCTTGTTTCATCCTTTTGCGTTCATAAATAAACAAAGGTGGAATATATGTTCCTGAGGCACTTATGCAGCACATAATGGTTGTTGTTTGACTTCTTTCTGCGCTTGTAATATAGCCGACTCTCTTTTATCCCTTTTCAGCAAGTATTTTTCCGGGGTTTTGGACGGTTGTTATGTCTGTCTCGTCTGCATTATATATTTTGCATGCCGAAAATTTATATTTATCCAATATGGATTTTAAATGAGAGAAAAATAGGTTTACTTCAGTTTTGTTAAAAGCAAATATGCGGTTAATAATTGTCGCCTTCGGTTTTCTTATTCGAATAGTTGGATTTCTTTTAAGGAAGCCGTCAAGCCAGTCTCTTTCAGCAATTTCTTTTTCTTTGGAAAATGGATGATGTAAATTTTTTTCTTCAGTGTATTTATAGGCACATTTTTTTTTATTTCTGTGGGAGTTATCCAATAAAAATGTTTTGATAACTTTATGACCTACTTTGTCAAAACTTCTTCTTCCTTGGTAAATACAGAATTACGACATAAAGAAGCAGCTGTTGTATCATTTCGCTTTAGTCGTAGTTGAATTGTAGATCTGGTAATTGCAAAACTTCTTGCAACTTCACGGACGCTTCTGCCATTATTTACTGCACTAAGTTGCTCAGCATTCCATCGTGATTTGTCACTTCTTCTCTTGTAAACTCGAGGCATCTGAAATATAAGAATGTATAAAGAAATACTCTGTATTATATAAATACAATTTGGGGATAATAGTGGCCGGCCAGCATTACCTCCAGGCGCGTGGGTATTATAACCCCAAAATACATATTTATACTGATCGACTCATAATCATTAATCACTTAAATGAGAGCAAGAACTTTTTATATAGTCTTAAACTACGTTAAAAATTTAACAAATAAGTACCAATTATGCAGCTAAATAAACTTAATTACATACTTCTACATACCTTTAAAAATCTTGCACTAATACAGCAACTCCAACAAAATATGACATTTTAAAAAATTCCTTCTTTGCCGGCAAAACATCGTCATTGTTTTAGGTACAGTTTGAACGAAACACTGTTAGATGGCGCAACAGGTATTAAACGCGAAATAATATTAGGCCGTAAATGTAAATATTTCATGGCTACTATTACCCCAGCGACCACCATTCCCCTTCCCCTATTTAAAAGAAATTTTCAATGTGTACCTATCTAAACAATTTTCAATGACTATGGATGTTAATTAAAAATACAATAAAGCAAAATAAAATATAAACATCACAAACTTAATCACGTAATTTAGTTTTACATATCAAAATGATGACTACCTGTTCCACATCCACTCAAATAAATAAACACATACCTGAGATCGAGATCAGAAATGAATTCGGCCTTCGGTGCAAAAAACTAGATCTGGGTGAATATTTGCTCGAAATAAAAATTATTAATACATAGTTGGTTTTGTAAAGACATAAAAAACGTTTGGTTTAATCGGCTTCTACGGAGAGGTACATATGCAGACCAACCTGCTTAAGAAGCTGTGGATGCAAGATTGTAGAATTAATTATGCCATAAAGCATCTTTAATTAATCGTCAGTCATACAATGAGAGAATACCAAGTTGAGTTTCAATTTGATCATAATTTACTTGATTTAATTCCAACGGTATACCCTGTTTATATGCTACATATTTCAAGAAGTTGTGTTGGACTGTCACGATTTTTAATATGTAAATATTATAAGATGGAGACCATACATAAGAGTAATACTCTAGATAAGGTCTAACTAAAGAACAATATAATAATTTAATCGCTTCAATATTCTGAAAGTCTCTATTACATCTTTATAAAGCCAGGCATTTGTAAAGACTATAGAAATTATTGACATATTTTCTGCTTATGTATTGTCTTCTCTAAGGAGGTTGGTAATCATCACAGCTATTTTCAATTTTGAACTATTTATTTTTTATAAAGACATTTTTTTAAACAATAATACGATTAGTTGCTTATTAGGCGATTTGAGTATATTTCCATAATATATTGCACAAACTGTCTTAATTTAATGATAACGCTACAAAAATAACAATTTTAGAAAGATATAACTACAAAAATATGAGATTTTTCTAAACAACAAATCGGAATAAATAAATCAAAAAGTGGAAAAGCCAAGTTCTAACAGAGGTCAAGCTACTGATAAAATATAAACAGATGTAAAAATAACTTTAAAAACAAATAAATCATGCTATAGAGCATAATATGCATGTTTCCATATAGAATCTTCTTCTTTGTCAACCATTTTCCATCCACTCCTGAATGTAGGTCTCTCCCAATTGCTTCCATCTTTATCTATCTTGCGCCAATCTAATCCACAGTTTGCCAGCCACATTATTTTTATCGTATGGCAATTACAACACATTTAGAACAAAATTACAAACACTAGTAATATAGGTATATGACAAACTTTAAATAATTACAAACAAACATCAAGTGTATTAACATAATCAATTGACTCTGAAGTTGCAAACAGGAAGTCTTCAGGGCTACCGTTATAGGATCTTGAGGGACACTCTTCAATAATGTGGTCGATCGTTTGGTCCTTCCCACAGTCACATTGGGGAGACGGATTCTTTCCCCATTTATGTAGCATGTATGCACATCTGCCATGTCTGGTTCGGATCCTGTTTAGAGTGGACCATGTTTTACGTGGAAGATCAAAACCTGGTGGCTTGTGGGTAATACAGGGCATGTTATTTTGCCATGCATTCCATTCTTGGGACCATGCATTCGTGATGTTGAACTCCTCATGTATCATTCTTGCCGTTTTCATTGGTGGTTTTCTAGAACGTAGACGGGTATTTCGTGCATCCTCGGTATCTTGGTGGATCGGCAGGTTTATATTGTTCATGATCTTTTTGTATTCACGTGTAAGTGCGTCAACTCGTCGTAAATGTGGAGGTGGAATGTGACTTAATACTGGAAGCCATTGGGTGGGAGTTGATTTAATTGTACCAGCTATCATCCTCATAGTGCTGTGCAGCTGAGTGTCGACCTTTTTTACGTGTGGACTGTGTAGCCAAACTGGGGCACAATATTCAGCGGTCGAGAAAACAAGGGCTAAAGCAGTAGAGCGGAGAGTGGAAGCCGATGCTCCCCAGGTGGTACCGCAGAGCTTCTGTATAATGTTATTTCTTGTACTCAACTTTTGGGCAGTTTTTGTTAAATGCTCTTTAAATGATAGCGTTCTGTCTAGTGTTACGCCCAGGTACTTCGGTGTTTTGTTATGAGAAAGTGTGGTATTTTCAAACCGTATGTTGAGTTCCTTTCCAGCAAGTTTATTGTTCAGGTGAAAGCAACTTACTTCTGTT